ATATATATATATATACATATACACATACATATATATATATATATACACATACATATATATATATATATATATACACATACATATATATATATACATGTATATATATATACACATACATATATATATACACATGTATATATATATACACATACATATATATATACACATACATATATATACACATACATATACATATACACATACATATATACACACATACATATACATACATATATATACATATACACATACATATACATATATATGCATACATAAAATTTTTCTCAACTTCCAGTATGGATTTAAACAAATACTATACACACTTAAAATTGTAAAATTTGTTTAAAAAATTTAATGTTCAAGGACACCACTTAAGAAAAAAAAGTGTTTAATAGGAAAAGTAACAAGTGAAAAATGTACAAAAATAAGAAATACTGCATCCAACTAATGATTGTGTATTTGTCTGTCCCTTGTCTCACGGGCTTCATCCAGAAGAAGACACAAGTGTTGTTCCTGCTGTGTCCGGTTCAGTTCTTCATGTTCATTCAGTGATGAAATAAGACTTTTCTTTACTGGACTCTTTTCTCTTTCTCTTGACTAGAAAGAAGAAAAAGGTGGTTAATTCAAGTTACATACTGTTTTTGAATAAATGCATAAAACAAAGAAAGGTGCAGCTAACAGCTATAATAGATATATTAATAATAAGAAACTGATAAAATAAGAAAATGAAAAATAAATTGATTTAAAAATAATGAAAATAATATAATAACAACAATGGATATATGAATCAGAAAGTATTATACAGATGCAGATATTCTTTATTGTCATTCGCACCTCATGTGGTACAAGTGGTGGATCAAAATTATGTTCACAGGGTCCCAGTTACATCCAACGATAAAATATAAAAGAAAAACAGTAATAAGATCTAAGATATGAACTAAGAAAAACATCAACTAAAAATATGCTAAGCACTAATAGCATAAAAACAATAAAGACAATACGCTGAACAGCAGTACGGACATGAGTCTGTGTGAACAGATGAGCACGAATGAACACAGCAACATGAAACAGATCAGCAGCAACATGAAACAGATCAGCAGCAACATAAACTGCTCAGCAGCAACATGAAACTGATCAGCAGCAACATGAAACTGATCAGCAGCAACATGATTATCCTGGTTAGATATTCATAAGGCTGCACAAACTCTAGTTCATGTTGCTGTTTGACATATTGTTTTGATTGTTTACTGCTATTAGTGCTTAGTGTTTTATTAGTAGATGTTTTTTAGTTGATATTTTTCTTAATTCATATCTTAGATCTTATTACTGTTTTTCTTTTACATTTTGTTGTCTGTAACTGGGACCCTGTGTACATAATTTCATCCCAATTCAGTATTTATTCAACATTTTATTTATTTACTTTAAAAATAAAATAAAAGCAAGTTCTTATTGGCCAAATAAAGTGATGTGGAACGTGTTGCATCTGTTCTTACCGAGCACAGAAGCTGCAGCGTTGTGCTGCTCTGTGAGGTGCAGCTGGGCTGTGATGGAGACCTGTCAGGTGCAGACTCCTCTGATGGAGCAGGAGCAGAAGCCGGGAGGCTTGGAGGGTTTAATGTGGAGTTTAGAGATGAACCATCACGCGCTGAAATACGTTCTGGATAAAATACAGTGAGAAACGGGACCGGAGGACAGTTAGCATTTATGCAAATTAGCTTAGCATCGTAGCACCGATGTTGTCCTATTATGGCTTCAGCCTCTTTTGTTAGTTAAAAATATGTTCAGAACTGATGGGATGAGTCACTTAAAATATGTTTAAAGTTAGAAAACACTCACCATCTTCTATAAATGATTCAAGTAGAGCAGTGGCCGTGTCCAAACCTACCTCCAATCGCTTCATCTAGCTCGCTTTGACTTCTTTCGTCAGCCACCAAGCACAACAACACCTGCACTTCTGCATTTGACCACAGCTTTGATATTATTGTTTTTGTATAGCTTCAAAATACTAAAAGATACGCTCCTCAAGTTATCGCTAATGGCAGGCGGTAGAGAAAAATGGCGGATCGGGTTGTTTGGACCCCTTGTGAAGCCGGGCCAGAATTCTGGGAGGTGAGCCGGTCCCAAGAACCATGGAAAAGACCTCAAACACGCAACAAGCCGGAAATATCCGACCCGCGCCGTGACAGTGGAAAGCGGGCATAAATATCGGCCGATACCGATCCAGTTCCGATATCATGATCATCATTGATTTTATATGAGGCTGTAATAATCTCCTCTCAAGTACAATTTGTACAAATGTCCAAAAAGGCAACTTGAGTTAAGTTTTATTAATGTTGGATAAGTTTTAAAGTAAGAATTAAATTCTGCTAACACAAAACGTGTTTCTTTTTATTCCTAGCTTTAAAGTGGATATTAAAGTGATTAATTTAAGTGATTGTTTAAAGTTATTTTATATTTTTTAAATAAGGGGCAGATATAAGATTTTTCTCCTTTCTGCACTCATTTCATTCAATGTTTCTTTGTGATGAATTTGTTTTGTTTCTTTTAAATGAATGAATGAATGAATTAAACAAAATAAAAGCGTATCGTCTTTTGAAAATGCAGCTGATTTGACTGTCAAAGTGCATTTATTAAACATACGTTACACTGAGACACACATTTCCTATAAATTCAAGCAAACGAATAATTGTTTTTAAGTGTTAATCTTGTTAAATTCTTGTTAAAGTCCTCCCGTGCACGCTCCCATGGCCACCATTTGGCAGCCCATCGATTTTTGGCACAACACCGGCCCACATTTCTGGGTTGTCAGCGGTGATACGTAACAAACGCGACGCGTCAGCAGTGACGCATATTAGATGCAACGTATTCGGCGAAGCAACATATTTATGGACTTTTCCACTTTATTAGACAAATATGGACTGATACGACTTATAAGGCAGAGCAAAGTTTATGGCGGAAAATACGATATATATTTTTTTAAATATGGATAAAATTAGACCACAAATGTCTTGGCTGACACACAGAGAAGTGTTTACCTTCCACTGCTCCCGAGGGAGTATTTGCACCACCACTATGTCTCCATTAAACGCTCTGTTGCGGGCAACAATGCCATCCAGGTAGATGTCGTGTGCGTCATCCTGTGAACATAAATAAAGCAGCCTGTTTTTTATTGGTCTTTAATATTTGAAATAAATCCATCAAGATGCATTTTTACCAAGATAGACACTTGACAAACAACAGCAGGCTAATTTTAAAGTTTATAACAACTTACAGGAGAGGGGATGAAAGCTTCAGTGAACTTCTTAGGATTGACTCTTATTTGTCCCTGTAGAAAAAATACAGAAAAATCAAGGTTTAAACTTTATTTTGACAATGATAAATCATCTTGTATTGATGTTTTGCAAAGGCAAATGATTTTATATAGACAAAATATACAGAATATATTTAAAGAACATGGCCTGTTCACACATCAACTATTCCCACACTGACACTTTAAGATTTTATTTCTGATTCATACCTGAAGGAGCTCTCCTCTTTTGAGGCCCTGGGAAACCTCCTCAAAGCTCATGTAGGATTCAAACACCTGTTTCTTTGTTTTCTTGGCACCTTTGTTTTTATTCTTGTCAGCAGAAGAATTTGGTTTCGGAGCTGGAAATGAAAACACCCGAAGGATTAATGAGCATGTGCAGAGTATTAAACCACCTTATCAAAAAATAAATAAACTATTTTGCCTTACAAAAGGAAAAGTATAAACAGTAATCTGTAACTGACCTGTAGGAGGCTGAAATTTCTTGTCTTTATTGTGAGGGGGTTTGGGCTTTGATGTCTGAGGATCAGCCCCATAATGTAATTTGAATTTCCCTTCCTCAAGGTTCTCTGCTTCATTATTTGATTTCTCCATCTTCTCTTGCTCCTGTGCTTTTGTACTAGCTTTTATCTGGGACTGGGACACCCCAAAAAGTGATTCAGGCTCTTTGGAGGCATCAGTTCTGTTAGAAACCTCTTTCTTCCTTTGTTGTTTCTGATTTTTCTTTGCACCGCTCGATTTCGAAGGACCGATCTCTTCTCCAGATTCAATATCTCCATCCTGGCTAGTGGCAGTGTCCCGTCTCTGTCCTCGTCGTTGCAGTTCAGACATACCTTGCTTCCTTTCACACTCCTGCTGAGCACCGCAGGCGCTTAATTTCTCCATGTATAAAGACAACGAACTCTCCTCTCCTTTACTTTTCAAAGAGGATGGAGAGAAGTCACTTGAATCAGAAAACTCAAAAAGCATTTGTTCCCTTTTATGTTGTGCTACATTAAGCCTATTGCTATGGGCTTGCAGTACTGGGTTGAAACCATTTCCCTCTTGTTGACATGACAAATACTTTGCATATTCTTCAAGATACAAAGTGAACTTACTGCTGCGGTGCTGGCTGAGGAGTGTGGCATATGCATCTTTTTGTGGTGGGGTGCTCGACTGGTTCTGGTTTCGTTTGGACTCTCGATTCAAGTTAGCATTCTTGGACTGATGAGGGGAATCCATGAAGCAATCCTTAAAGGTTCTTTTTCTTTCAGGACAAAAAATAAAAAGAAGAAATACAGCAGTCAAAATCATGGATGGACTATGTAACAAGTTACTGGAAACAGAAGTTTAAGAGTCACTACCATCCTAACAAAACACAAACTGGAGACACAACCATAACCATATGATATATATTGTGTTTCTCTGTATCCCACTAACCTATCCATCCATCCATCCATCCATCCATTTTCTTTACCCGCTTATTCCATTTTGGGTCACAGGGGTCGCTGGTGCCCATGTCCAGCAATCACTGTGCGAGGGGCGGGGGACACCCTGGACGGGTCGCAAGTCCATCACAGGGACACATAGAGACAAACGAGACAAACAACCATTCACTCTCTCACTCACACCTAGGGACAATTTAGAGTTACCAATCAGCCTAACATGCATGTTTTTGGTCTGTGGGAGGAAACTGGAGCACCCTAAGAAAACCCACACATGCACGGAGAGAACATGAACACTCCACCCAGAAAGGCCCCTGGACCGGGATTTGAACCAGGGACCTGTTTGCTGAGAGGCAGCAGCTCTACCAGTTTCACCACCGTGCTGCCCTCCCAGTTACCTAGTGACTAGGAAATTTATTGTTACTGTTGGATCATTTGTTGTGATCTTTTGTTGCATATTTTTAGCATTGTGCCTTTTCTCCGACTATACAGTGTTTTAAACTTTTGTTCGTTTATATTTCAGCTTGATTTGTCTGATAACTGAAAAGGATAACTGAGTATCCTAACTGTTGCTTTTCCATAGTTCTTAGCTGAAAGCGTGTCGCATTTTAAAGTTACTGCACATACTACAAGCATGCCCAAGGTAAAGTGGAAAAAATAAAACTTTATTTAAGACACTTGAGTCCATAGTGTTAACAAATATTATCCAACAAAAGTTACCGAAAACTAAATATCGGCTTTAACTTCAGGTTTTAACTCGATACAATGATTAGCGTTAGCTTAGCTACTTTCAACGAACAGCAACGACTAACGGCTTCTCTGTCTCACACAACACGACACATTTGTAACAAGCGACTGGTGAAAAAAATGTAGCGATTGTCAAAAAATAATGACCAAAAATATCACCTTTTTCACTGCGACGTAAGAAATATCAAGCTTATTGACGCTGACAACCAAAAGTGCGACCATAGACATACATATCAATGAGTGCGACTGCAACCACACCACAGACAAACGTGCGAACGTAATGACGTTGACGTAGTAGCCACCATAGATATCATATATGACTAGATACAGCATTGACCGCGATCGTCTATTGGCGCTGACGAGATTTAGGGCCGCCATCTTGAAACGGTCGACCGCTCCACTCAGTGTAACCTGTTTGACGGGAGCAATGAAGTATTTGCGCGTTTAATCAGTCATAGCTGAATACTAAACTCATTCTCACAATTTTTTCCTCTGTAAATCCCTCTGTAAATCTTAGGAGTACAGCCATTAAAGCTGAACACATGGTTCAGTGTATTTAAATATTCTTGGTGGGGTTAACATTAACACTAATAAAATATTCTTATGACACGTTTGCAAAACTCACAGTCACTGATACATTTTTATTAAGATCTAGATATATATATTATATATTAATTATATAATATATATTATATAATATATATTATATAATATATAATAATATATGTATATATATATGTATATATATATATATATATATATATATATATACATACATACACACAATTACACACAATTATATCTATTTTATATATAACCACATATTGCCACCATATACATACACACACATAATCTCTCTCTCTCTCTCTCTCCATATATATATATATATATATATATAT